ATGCCGGAACAGCGTGTTGGTAATTACAAGCCCATGGGCTGCACAAAAATTATGCAGCCTCCTGCCGTTGTTATTGAGCTGATCTGGCCCATGCCTTCCAATCACTCCAGACCAGGTGCCAGCATCATGACCAACTCGGGCATTGAAGTCACCCAACAAGATTACTCTATCCCGAGAGGCCACTTTAGCTAGCACCTAGGAGGTCATAGAAGGCATCTGACTCATCGGCCTTGCCTGCATCCCTCCACGGATGTTTGTCTTCAGTGGGGGCATAAGTAACCACGACCACCACTCCTCGCCTCTGGTTGATGGGAAGGCGAGCCCAATGTAGCCAGGGGGGCTTACAGCTTCCCACACCTCACTGCCACGCTCCCACGCCCTCTTCATTATTTTGATCAGAAGAGCCACTCCCTGTTGTTTGTCAGTCTCCTTCCCCGAGTAAAGGACTGTCCACCCCTCATGGTGTCAGGAGCCAGAGCTGGTCCACCGAACCTCCTGAATACCACAATGATCCAGGCGGTATCGGTCCAGCTCCCGACAGAGGAGTGACAGCCTCTTCTCCGCAGTGAGCGTTCCAGCATTCCACGTGGCCACACGTAGTGGTTTTTTGTTGTTTCTGGAGGAGCCCCGAGGGTAAGGATTCAGTCTCCTGGCTCCGCCAAATGAGGTTTGGCCAGGAGACGTCATAGACGCCTGTCCCCCCCGGGGCCTCCAGCACAAGCTAATTCATTTAATTTTTCCATCGTGGTTTAGCGGTAATTAATTCAAGGTGGAGGGGTTACCAGCCCCTCGCACCCGTTCAGAGCCCCCTTTTGGCCACTGTGGTGGTCACAAACGCCATGACGGGAAAAGGCCAATCGGAATTGGCCCTCCCCCCACAACACTGCCCACGACAGTGTTTCCCGTCCAGCACCACAAAGAGGTAGGGGGTTGTTTTGCCAGACCCTGACCACACACACTGACACATGCAATTACACACACACGAAGATCCCCCGTGCAGCAAGTGCTGTTAGCGAGCACCTCTGAAGGTCAGCACGGCACACGTGAGGGTGGCGAACACCACGCCCGGCCGCCTTTGTCTCCACACAAGCGATATTTACACATGGCACCAGGTACTCATTTGAGGCCGATTCGACCTCGGGAAAGGCCTCAGAACCGGTTCAGATAATCATTTGCAAAGTTGGCCAGGAGCGGGAATTGAATTCGGGTCGCCGAGTTAGGAGCGCAGCGCGCTAACCACTACACACACACACGCGTGCACTCACTCACTCGCACACACATGCACGCACTCACTCGCACGGACGCACTCGCACGCACTCGCACACACTCGCACGCACTCACTCACTCGCACGCACTCGCACTCACTCATTCACTCGCACACGCACGCACTTGCTCACTCACTCACGCACGCACTCACTCATTCCACGCACTCACTCATTCGCACGCACTCACACACTCGCACACGCACGCACTCACTCGCACACGCACGCACTCGCTCACTCACTCGCACATGCACGCACTCGCTCACTCACTCGCACACGCACGCACTTGCTCACTCACTCACGCACGCACTCACTCATTCGCACGCACTCACTCACACACTCGCACACGCACGCACTCACTCGCACACGCACGCACTCACTCGCGCACGCACTCGCACACGCACGCACTCGCTCACTCACTCGCACATGCACGCACTCGCTCACTCACTCGCACACGCACGCACTTGCTCACTCACTCACGCACGCACTCACTCATTCGCCCGCACTCACTCACACACTCGCACACGCACGCACTCACTCGCACACGCACGCACTCACTTGCACACGCACGCACTCACTTGCACACGCACTCACTCGCACACGCACGCACTCACTCACTCGCACGCACTCACTCACTCACTCACTTGCACGCACGCACACTCACTCGCACACGCACGCACTCACTCGCACACGCACGCACTCGCACACGCACGCACTCACTCACTCACTTGCACGCACGCACGCACGCACTCACTCACACACGCACGCACTCACTCGCACATGCACGCACGCACTCACTCACTTGCACGCACGCACGCACTCACTCACTTGCACGCACGCACTCACACGCACGCACTCGCACACGCACGCACTCACTCGCACACGCACTCGCTCACTCACTCGCGCACGCACGCACTCGCTCACTCACTCGCGCACGCACGCACTCGATCATTCACTCACGCACGCACTCGCACGCACGCACTCACTCGCACACGCACGCACTCACTCACTCACTCGCACACACGCACGCACTCACTCGCACACGCACGCACGCATGCACGCAGACGCGAGCGTGCACACAGGCCAGGAGGGCATGCGGCGGCGGTAGGCGGACGGCGGGACGTTAATCAGAGAGAGTCAATATTATGACTCTGTAAATATTTCACTTGATATCTCAGTCTTGATATTGCGTAAACAATATTGGGTTTCTGGAATATTGTGCGTGATCACAAGGTGGCAACATTTATTGAGTTTAGCTCTCACATCGCTCATCACAGAAACTGCCCAACTCTAACGTGGCAAATATATTCGTGCGTGCGCTTGGTCTCTACCGAGACCAATCCCTGCCATAGGCACGTGGAATTTGCACCGCTCACTCAAGACATCCAATGGAGAGGACAGCTGCCCAATGTTAATTTGCGTATGCGGACCCTTGGCAATGTTTAAGAACGCTATCTACTTGGTATGTAGAGCATTTAAATTAGTACTATATATACTGTAAATAATGCAATCTATCAAACCCTCCATGACAGATTCATGCACACACACACACCACCGCAGCAGAGTACATGTGCATCACCAGCTCACCTACAGATATAATTTAAGCATACTTTGATTTCCAATTTTCCATTTCCAGTTGAGCGCAGATATTAAATTCCTCGCGAGTATTCCACGTTTGCCGCTTCACGGCAACTTTTTCCCCCAATTTTGCTGCAGTTCTCTTTCCCCCTCTCCAGTTTATCTCGATCTGGCAGCCCCCCCCCCCTCCCCCCACACCCCTGCCGCGTTTGCTCTGCTTGCACGACCACGGAGAGGCAAAACGCATGCTCGCCAAACGCTACCCCCCCCCCACACCGCCGCTTGCCCGGGGCACAGTCGGCATTTGCCGACGGCAGCCGGCCGTCTCCCTCCTAGGCTACCCGCAGTCGGGAAACGCAGATGTCAACAACAGGTGGCAAGAGCCGAGGCCAATTTGAACCGCAATTAAAAACATTTTAAGGCCCCCCCCCCCCCCAATTTCCAGGCTGGTTGGCATTGCTGCGACTATTAATGCCAATGTCCCGAACAAAGCACCCGATCGCCAGTTCCACCAAATAACCTGCGCGATTTAACTTCTCCGCTCACAAACACGGGTCCACCCGTGACTGGACCCCGCGTGTCTTCACGGCAGCCCTGTCCTAAGCGACGTTCGCAGTGCAATTACAGAGAGAGCTGCGGTGCGCTATTACGATAAATGCCGACCAGACCATTAACCACACAGCATTCAACCGCTGAGAACTCTGAAATTTTATGTAGGTCTATGGGTCTCTATGTGAGTCTATGGGTCTCTATGTGAGTCTGGGTCTGCATGTGAGTCTATGAGTCTGTATGTGGGTCTGTGGGTCTCTATGTGAGTCTGTATGTATGTCCATGGGTCTCTATGTGAAACCACACAGTAGTGAACCACTGTGAATTCTGAAAATTCAACAGAGGCATTGAAGCTGGCCACTCCACATCAACCGAAGCCATTTCCCCAATATATAGTCTACTCATCCTGATGCACGCACGCAAGAGAGAGCGAGCGAGCGAGCCAACTTGTAAACATGAGCTTCTACGCGCACACCGATGAAGGATGCGCAAGGTATCACGCTACAGTTTTGTCCCACGATGCATTGCCACCCGAACATATTTCACCTTGCAGGGGCACACGTTGGGCGGACGGATGGGGCAGTGCCTCCCCGCGTTAGTGCCGCGCTTTGTCCTGCTCACGGAGCGGCCTAATCAAGACGGATTAACGCGTTCCCCTTCGCACGTTCCGCACCGACCAGTGTAGGTTCCGCTAGCGTGGTCGCGCTTTCCACCACGGAGGAGCTACAGGTGCGGTGGTGAGGGGGAGGAGGAAGAGCGAATTAAGATGGATTGATGCCCGGCAACCGATTTAGGAAAAAACCTTGTGAGCAGGTGCCGCAAATCTCATCGCCAGAGCCTCTCCTATTTGCTCTTCATTTCGCTGTAATCAATGTTAATAAACAGGGGCCACTTAACCCAGTCCCAACCGCTGAGCAGAGAGCCCGGGCTACGTGCGTACGCGACCTTAATTCCAGCACCTCGCGGCCAATGTGATGGCAGCGCAGGACCCCACTGGGCGACGATCCCACCTCGGCTGCCTGGCGAAGAATAATTTGCGGGCAAACGCTGCTTTGTTTGCAATTAATTTATCTGGCATGGCAGCGCGGTGGATTACAATGCTGTGCACACACGCGCACACACAAGGCGGCCCGTGGTTAAAGAACGCCGCTTGCCTTTGCTCCTGCGGCAGAAGCGGCGCTTCTTTCCCAGGGGGAAGCGCCGCAGTTTAATTTTGCTTGCACCGCCACCTACAAAGGGCTCCAACGCACGCGAACAAACATTCGCTCTCCATTTCACCCCTCCCGCCCATGCACCCCCCCCCCCGCAGCTGCTTTACAATTCAGATCACGAAATAAAGTAAATAAATAAGAGATATGTTGTCGTTTGTACATTACTATGATTTTTTTTAATTAATAAGATCAACTGTGATAAAAGTATAAATCCACAATAGCAGGCTGGGGGAAAGCAGTGAACCTGGCAGGAGGCCAGAGCTAAGAATCACAAAAAAGGGAAATGTGTCACCTTCATTTGACGCTCACACGAGCAAAGCTCAAAGTCGCGTCCCTACGAAGGGGTCAAAGGGCACCCGGATCGGGATCGCAAACAATGACCTCTGCCCATTGCCCGCAGGTCTCCTCGGCACCCGGCTGCCCAGAGCCATGGCCCCTCTGCTGCCGCTAGTGCTCTACCTCGTCATCCTGCTGTCGTGGCTGCCCCTGGTGCTGCCCCTCTGCCCACGCCGCTGCGTGTGCCAGAATCTGTCGCCCTCCATGGCCACGCTGTGCGCCAAGAAGGGGCTGCTCTCCGTGCCGGCCACCGTGGACCGGCGCACCGTGGAGCTGCGCCTGGCAGACAACTTCATCACGCGCCTGCGCCGCCAGGACCTGGCCAACATGAGCAACCTCGTAGACCTGACGCTGTCGCGCAACACGCTCGGCGAGGTGGTGGCCGGCGCCTTTGCGGACTTGCGGGCGCTGCGCTCCCTCTACCTGGACGGGAACCGGCTGACGCGGCTGTGCAACGTGACGCTGCGCGGCCTCACCACTCTGCGCCTCCTCACCGTCAGCTCCAACCAGCTGAGCCACATCGCCAACGAGACCTTCGAGGACTTCATCACCACGCTGGAGGACCTCGACCTGTCCTACAACAACCTCGAGACACTGCCCTGGGAGGCCGTGCAGCGCATGAGCAGCCTGCACTTCCTGGGGCTCGACCACAACCTGCTGGACCGCGTGCTGCCCGGCGCCTTCACTGCAGCTGCACAAGCTGTCGCGGCTCGACCTCACCTCCAACCGCCTGCGCACGCTCGCGCCGGACGCGCTCTTCCTGCGCGCCGGCGCCGCGGCCGCGGCGGGCGGCCCGCTCGCCTTCAGCCTGGCCGGCAACCCCCTGCACTGCAACTGCGAGGTGCTGTGGCTGCGGCGGCAGCGCCGGCAGGACCAGCTGGAGACGTGCGCCACGCCCGCCCACCTGGCGGGCCGCTCCTTCTGGGCGGTGGGCGAGGAGGAGTTCCTGTGCGAGGCGCCGGTCATCACGCGCCACTCGCCGCACCTGCGCGTGGTGGAGGGCCAGCGCGCCGTGCTGCGCTGCAAGGCGGTGGGCGACCCCGAGCCCGGCGTCCACTGGCTGGCCCCCGACGGCCGCCTGGTGCACAACTCATCGCGCTCCGCCTTCTACGCCAACGGCACGCTCGAGGTGCTGGTGGCCACCGTGCGCGACGACGGCACCTTCACGTGCATCGCGTCCAACGCGGCCGGGGAGACGACCACCAACGTGCGGCTCGACGTCGTGCACCTGCCGCGCGTCGTCAACGGGACGGCGGGCAGGCTGCGCGGCGGCGGCGGCGCCCCCTCATCGGGCGCCGGCGACCCCCCGGGGCCCTCGGACATGGCGGCGCACAACGGGCACGCGGCGGCGGCGGCCCCCGGGATCAACGCGAGCGACGGCAAGGGACGGCAGTGGAAGGTGGAGGCGACGGATGTGAAGTCCACGTCGGTGCTCGTGAAGTGGGCCCCGAGCCGCGGCCTGCGGGGCGTGCGCATCTACCAGGTGCAGTACAACAGCACGGCGGAGGGCTCGCTCACCTACAGGCAAGTGCCGCGCGGCGCCCCGGCTTCGCTCAGCCGGCACGCCACACCCAGCACGCCGCTCGCTACGGCCCTGGCGACTCGTCACACGCCGCCTACTGCGATCTGCCGGCCAGCGACCGGGAAAATGTCCCTCTCGCTGCGGCGGTGGCTACTGGTCACGTGCCACCTACTTAAGAAAAAAATGAAGCTTCCATTATAAGTATGAAGACGTGGGTCCATTTCATTGGTAGATACTAACACGTAACATTCAGGTCCTCGAGCCACAAGGAGGGCTTCTAGATCAATGGTTTTCAAGAGCGAGCTCCACTTACTCAGTTGGGTGTGGCCTGTAGGACAAACGCTACGAGGTTGGCTTCATTTGTAGGTGAAGGCTTAACCCATGTGACCACATACCCCATGGGACCAAAACCGGTCCAGCGTGATTCTGATTAGACAAACATTGGACCCTAATACGCTCTGGTTGATCGACCTCCATTATTTAATTATGGGATATGAAACTGACCCTTGCCTGCTTCCTTACTACCCACCACAATCTGCCAGGAGCTCGCAGGCTTACATTGTACCATCTTGCTGTGCCGCACAGCTGAACAGGCCGCGCCGGTGTTCAGGGTGCGCTTGTTTTTATAGAATGTGTTTAACCGGCCACGTGACACCGATGAGCCACAGAGGAGACAAAACTGGTCAAGCGTTTGCTGCAGAGACAACTTTCACCGGAAGGCCTCATAGGCCGCCGAACTTAAAGGTTACCGTATACTTTTTTTGGCGAGAACACAGACCACCCCCCTCTCTTCTTTCATTATTTGATAGAAATCACGGAATAGACGCTCCAGCTGCCCACTTCTCCAGAGAAGAGCCACCGCCTCGCACATTCGTCCAATGCACATCTCCCGGCACGACGGGGCAAGCGTCTTAATAAACGCCCGTCTCCGTTCTCCCAGTGATATAAATGGGTACACCACGGTTATCAGTGGGATCACACGTGCGGTTGGGGAGGGGGAGAGAAGTGTAGGTATGATCACTTCTTAAAAGAGTAGGCCAAGATACCCTCTCTGGTTCTAGTGGAGGCCTTTCCACGAGCAGTGGCGCCAGCCAGTAATTGTGGGGCGGCATCTTGACCCGACGTTCCTGCTAGACGAGGCAGCGCGAGCCACCACAGTGGCGAGGTTTTTTTTTTGGCCGAGTTCTCGAGCGGGCAAAACTCGGAGGCATGGCTCTTTAAAACCGCAACGATGAGAAACCGTTATCTCTGATGCCAGTGTTGTTTTTCTTTCTCCCAAGCGAGTTTATTTTGATAAAGCACTGCGCTCACTTTTATTGGAGAAAAAAACCCCGAAAAATGACTTCGACGGTAAAGGTCACCTTCACGCGCCGTTGTGTCGGCCCAAAAACAAAGACGAACATTCGAAACTTTCTAAACATTTGCTTTGTTTAACGATGCCCTTTTACTTCAGAGATGGCCTTTACTTGCTACCCAATTCTGGTCTCCGACGCATTCTCGTGTCCGTGCAACCACCGACCACGATGCGGCAACATATCAACCGTGTGATCAACGGTCATCACGTGACCACTCACAATGCGAACACCCACCACCACTTAGCCCAGGTAACAACCCAACACCTACTCACTCAATAACGACGATAATCCACAATCCTGGGGCACAGGTGCCGCCGGGAAATCCCCACTACCACCAGCCGCTTCTTTTCCCACCAAAAAGTCGAACTGCCAGGGTACCACTCCGCCACCACGCACCCACTCTCGCCCCCATCTCTCTATCAAGCGTCACAGCTCGTGTCAAGGACATCAACCCTCGCACAACTGATGATTTCAACCTTTTACCATATCTCTCACTGACAGCTCCGTCCAACTGCTCGCGCGGTCCCCAACAACCGATCCGTTTCCCCGCCATTCTCCCATCTCCATCTCATCTCCAGCTGCGACACTCTTGCACGTCCCCCCACCCCCCCCCCCCCCCATATGTGCCGCCTTCCTTACTTCCTTTCCATCAGACGTCTCACAAGAAGGGGCTTTGTCACATTTTCGGCGGTGAGAATGAATCCATTCTGTGCTCACCTCGCTCGAGACGACCTGCCGACGGCACATAGCCTCGGCCGTTCCTTCTAGCAGAGAGAGAGAGAGCCTCGTTAATTAGCACGTAATCCCACTCTGGCGGGAGGTCCCGCGTGAAGCCGTCACGGCGCGCCCGCGCGTGATTATTAGCCGACGACGACGACATGCTTCCCGACTCCACGCGCCGTCCGTCAAAGCTGCAGGAGACACCTTCCCGCAACGGCGTTGACCCAGAGTTCATTCGCCATCGAATTGTGACGAGCTTTAATGAGCATGGGAATTAAAAAAGCCAAACCCCACGCACACTTCAATAAAGATGAAACAGTTGTCCACGTCCACGCATAAAAAAAATAATAAACCTCCGAAAAATAATACTTGCACCGCGGAAAAAGTCCATTTTCCGCAATCTTGATTTCTCTTCCTAAAACATAAATGCTGTTCGGAGTGAGAATGCAGCAGCAGACAGCTTCAAACACAGAGCACTGGGCAAGGCACAGCGTAAAGTGCGAAGAAGAAAAAAAACCCACTTACGGCCGATGCCAAACGGCTTTATTTAATTTAGCGACAGTTTGCAGGACCGAGGACCCGCTGCAAGATTGACCACCACGGCCTCAGAGCGGCTCCTGAGGTCTCCCGCTAATGCACTTTCCGATCGATGGCAACAAATGATGGCGTTTATAATCGGGTTTTAGTTACGGCTTCCTTTGCGCCCCGCGGAGCAGAGCCTGCTCCATCCGCGGCTCCGTTAGCGGCGGCGGTTGACGGGGGCGGCTCGAACGCGCAAACGTTTTGTTCTGCCGGCGATGGCGAGGAAGCGCGGCGGGGGAAGCGTCGAAGCGCGGGTGCTTTTTTGGCGGTCTACGGGAAGCGAGGCGCCCAGCGTCGACGAGACCCGCCAGCGTTCGCGAGGCCGCACAATCGGCCGTGCAAATTATTCACGTGCGGTGTCCCCGCCGCCGCCGCTGGCAACCGAGGGTGACTTTCACTCCGCCCCCCCCTGCTCCCAGGGCCATGTCGCAGCGCCATTAGCAGCAGCAGCAACAGCAGCTCGCCACGCAGACAAAAGCAGCGCTCGGCACGCACGGCGAAAGTCACTGGCGGTTAAATTGCACAAAACAATAGCGTGTCCACTTCAGGGTGACTTGTCAGACATTCCGACATTTAATCCATTTCATCCCCGACGTGCGCGCCCAGGCAAGCGCGAGGGGAACACATTATTACAGGGGATCATCCAAAATAAAATGAATTGGTGAAATAATTACCGTCTGAAGAATGTGAATCACAATTGGAGCATTAACAGGGATTTCTGGGTGAGGCAATAATGAAGATCTAGACACGACGCAGTGGCCGTTAGAAATGTCAACCGCCCCCCCCCCCCCCCCCCACCTTGGGGAAATGTGAATGGAATGCAGATCCACGTGAATGTTTGTGATTGCACGCACGCCCCGTTTGTGTGACTCATAATCAGTTATTATTAGCGCTCCATTTCCAAGCGAGCAGGGCCAGCATCAACGTGCGTTAACGTGTTAATTGGTCTTTGATGTGTTAATCGTCCGTGCGCCTAATGCAATTTCCCTCCCCGTGCCCTCGCGGCCCAGCATAATGATGTCCCTCAATGGCCTCGTGGGATAACGCTCCATTACGCTAAACGTCCACAACCTAAACGTGGTCCTTTTTGCGAGCGCCCGCCGCTCTCATGCGAGGCCGAGGCGACCCACAACATCTCTCTTGCCGGGCAGCCGCAAGCGACTCTGACGACCCCCTAACATCGTTCACCAGCTCCAGGAACGAGCACAAAATGACCCCGCCCCATAGTGAGCTACGATGCAACACGTCGCCATGGCGGCGAAGCAACAAGTACGAACGTCACGCCGCATTGCTCGCGAGCAAAGGCGCTCTAAAGTAAATTTCGAGACTCGTTATCGTTGCGGAAGCCGATGGACGGTGCAGGACACGTGGCCTAGGTGCATAGGCGGCACGGCCGAGGCGAGCAGCTGCATGAGACGAGCCGCGGTGCGTTCACGTGGTCTGCCGTTTTCACTCCGATTGGTATTAACGACCTCTCTCCTTTGACCCCTCCCTCCTGTGACCCGGCGGGGCCCCAGGATGGTGCCGGCCCCCAGCACGGCGTGCCCCATCTCCGGCCTGACGCCGGCCACCGACTACGACCTGTGCGTCGTGGCCATCTACGACGACGGTGGAGACGCGCTGGCCGCCACGCGCCTCCTGGGCTGCGTCACCTTCCAGACGGGCGCCGGCTGGGACGGCGAGTCGCTGCGGTGCTCCTCCACGGCCGCCGAAGCCGGGCCGCTCTTCCCCGAGCAGCTCCTCGGCAGCACCATGATCATCATCATCGGGGGCATCATCGTCGCGTGCCTGCTCGTCTTCACCGTCGTTCTGGTCGTCGGGTACAAGGCCTGCGCCGCCAACGGCAACGCCGGCGGGTGCAAATCCACCGCGGCCGCCAACGGACGCTCGCAGACGGGCGTCACGGAGGACGTTGTCGTCGGCGGCGGCGAGGCGAGGTTTAACCGCAACGGGGAAGCCGGCTTCCAGCAGGCGGAGGAGCAGCGGCGGCCCAACCTGGGCAGGAGCAGCACCGAGTCGTCGCTGTCCAACCTCAGCCGTGGGCGGGAACAGCGGGAGGGCCCCTATGGCGCGCCCCGGCAGGCGAGCGCCAAGGTCAAACCGGACATCGAGCAGCTGCTGAGCGCGCTCGCGGCGGCCGAGCATCTGCGCTCGCGGGCGGCGATGGCGGCCGCGGCGCAGCCCTTCTTGCCGGCGCGACGCTCGGCGTCCGTGCGCTGGGCGTCCGACCGGGACCCGCCGCACCTGTCGCCCGACGGGTGGCCGGGGCCGGATTGCGGCGGCGGCGGCCAGAGATCGTCAACCGATCTGGGAGCCAAGCGCAGCCGCTCGTTCGACGCCGGGAGCTTCCCGACGCTGCAGGACTGCAGCGCCCAGAGCAAGCGCATCAGCCACATATGGACCAAACGGAGCATGTCCGTCAACGGCATGCTCATGGGCCTGGAGGAGGCGGACCTGACCAGCAGGAGGGCAATGTTCTCCAGCTCGGATTGGATTCTGGAAAGCACTGTGTAGCTTCTGCCTGCAGTGCTGCATGCAGCTCGGAGATCATCTCTCTCTCTCTCAATTGGACAATTCATTATCGCTCGTCTCGCTCTCCCTGCAGGCAGCATTAAAGGCGGAGGAGAAATTTATTTTGGTTTATCCGGCCGGCGTCTGCAGTAACGACCTCCCACGGTAGTAGCCCCTCCCCCCCCTCCCCCACACAATCTTTTCCCTCCCCCCCCCGACCTCCCCTCGTTCACCCCGGTGGTGGAGGGGATGTCAAAGCGAGACCCTCAAGCCAACCGCCACCCCTCGACCCACCCACCGCCGCCCCCCTCACTGCTCCACACGGCAAAAATCAATCCCGGGCGTGTTGTGTAAACCATATTGCGATATCGCACTACACCACCACCAGATTTGGCGGTGCTAAAGCAATTAAGCGGACGACAGCTTATAAATCGCTTCGCTTCAAGAAGCCTCGACTGAGGATCTGGTTGTGTGCCACGCCCCCCCCCCCCCCCCCACTTCTTTCCGGACGGGAGCGGTCGTCTCGGGTTGCCGTGAAAGTCGCACGCCCGCGTACCGGGCCGTTGCGGCTCCGCAAATCAAGTCAAACGGCTTTCACAGCACGCGCGGTAAAATCAACCGCAGCGATCGCTCGCGACGAAGTCTATACCTCAACGCCGCCACTGCCACCGCTCCGCCAGGCCCGGCGGCCGAGACTCCAACCCACGTGTACATTAACCCAAGACTCCGTTGGGGCAAGGAAGGTGCGACTCCTTTCTCTCTCTCTCTCTTTATACTGTCAACTTTGTACACAGTACAACCGCGTTGGAATTCCAAAAGGGACTCGTTAACGCCGTGGCCAAGCGCTGCCTTGCCGAGACACGGATTCGACTCGATCCGGGAAACAAACCGGAGAGGGGGGCGGGAGTGAGATTGGACGTCGCGCTCTCTCCCGGAGCCCCGCGTTTGCTCTGCAGGCAATCAAGTCGCAGCGGCAATTCCGCGGCACCGCTAATTATTGTCGTTAATTGGTTTTCTGCAGCTGTTTCTTATAGTGATGCTAGAACGGGGTGGGGGGCCCACGACTGCCCTCCTCCGCTCAATCGCCGCCATCGCCACCGTCGCCAAACCTGACAGGAGCGTCCGCCGACGTCCGCGAGCCGCGTTTAACGGCGGCCGCTCTCTCCGAGCGGAGTGGAACTCGGTTGCGACGCCGACGGGACGGCTTTCTGTGACAGCTGGAAGCTTTTATACGTCGCTCGTGCCATCCGGTCTGTGCCACCTCTCCCTGCCCTTGTCGGTACCGCCCATCGTAGGCGCACACGCGTACGGCCCTGCTCTTGACGTGGTTTCCACAATGCCTTGACGGTGCGTTCAGGAGCGCCGATTTCTCGCCGCTGCCGCCACCGAGGATTTTTCGCAGCCTGCTTGCGGGGGGCCACGCGGAGCGGCCCCCCCCCACCCGCCAATCCTGCGGTGGCAAAACTTGTCGATTCGACAGGAAATCAAACGCGGCAGCAGGTGCCGGAAAGATGCTGCCCCCCCCCCCCGCCCCACTTGTGCTGCTCTCATCCCCGGACGTTCACCCTGGCAGGCGTGAGACGGGAGACGCTGCGTCCCCACGGACGTCCCGACGCATCACCTTCATGCCGTGCGGCTTACCGGAGAAATGACCCCCACCATTTAACTCACCGCTCTTTTTAGACATTCGATGTGTGTATATATGAAGCCATGGTAAAAAAAAACAATGACAAACCAGGTCTCCGCGTCTGTCATTTCTTCACGAAACGCGCTGCTCGACGCACCGGGGTTGTCGCGCCAATTTCGGCCACTGCGGTCACCGCCAACGTGGCCAGCGGCGTTGGCACGTTCCAGCTGGGGTCGCGTCCGCGTCCAGGCCAGCCGACCTACTTCGCCTGCCCGCCGACTCTCGACGGGCACCAGCCGGGCAACAGCCGAGCCCCGCCGCTCCCTCCCCCAACAAGACCTCCCAAGGAAGGTTGGGGCGGCTCGTTTCACTCCATGTCACGGCATATAAATTTTAACCTCGGGAGGCAGACATAAAGTCGAGGGACATTAATCAGGTTCCTGCGCGTGCGTTACAGCCCTAATGTGAGCAACACGCACGCGCACCCCCCCTCCCTCCACCTGTTTCATCAACCCAACTGCTGCGACTAAATATCTGCGGGCGGGGAGACCGCGCGCCGCCGCCCATCCAGCAGCACGTTCTTAGCAATCGCAGAACGCCGCCCAGCGCCTCCCTCCCTCACCGCCCCCTCCGGCTCCGCCCGCCGACCCACGGAGCCTTTGAATCGCCGCCGCGAAGATTGTCGCGCGGCGGCGCCGGCCGCCACAGGCAGTAATTTTGGTCGAAGCGACAATCGCCTCCCCGCCAACTCGTTTGCCTGCGCGTGGCCCTAATCGGTGCGGTGCAGTTCTTTTTGCTCGCGAACGTTCACGCACGACCATCGTCAAAGCTCTTCTCAGCCCCCCCACCCCGCCGTCACTTAAAGTAAGCTAAATGGCGTATTCCGTACGGGCGGGTGAGAAAATTATTAATGGAGATTTAAAGAATATGGGAAGTGAAATTGCTTCGCCAGCAAATGGCAGCCGGCACCGTTTAGGACGAGCAGGCGCGACCTTGAGGAGGGGGTGGGTGGGTGGCAAGCTCGTTGGCGATGCTCGCCCCGTGTCTCTTCCGCACGAGGGGGCCGCTCACCACTACCCCCCCCCCCCCCCCGCAGACTCCCCGTAAGAGCGGGTACCAACAAACGGCTCTGGGGAAAACATCACGCGCGCTCTGGTTGGTAGCGGTGGTGATGGGCAGGTGATGCTGCTGCTGCTGCTGCTATGAATGCGAGACCCGGAGTGCAGTGATGCTGCGACTCGATACACGGCCGCACACGAAACAAAGACGAAGATCCCCCGTGTAGCCTTAACAGACTCTTGGGACAAGTGCTGATAACGAACAACACCGGTGTAGGCCGGCACGGCACACGAGGGGGTGGGTAGCCAGCACCACGCCCGGCCGCCTTTGTCTCCCCGGAGTGGCGATGTCTGCACACCACAACTAGGTACTCGTTTGAGGCCGAGTCGACCTAGTGGAGGGAGGACTGAGGACCGGTTCAGATAATTGTCACTGGTTGCAGTGAGCGGGAATCGAACTCGGGTCGTCAGGTTCGTTGTGCAGCGCGCTACCACTCACCACAGCACACACTCGGATACAAAGATGTGTCATGCATGACACACACACACATGTACATGACACACACACACTCAGATACAAAGATGATTCTCCCTCCCACTTTGTCCTCTACAGACTGCTGGGGAAATTCCGTTTGCGAGCACCTATTAAGCCCGGACTTGGTGCCAGAGGGCGATGCGTGTAGCGAGTACTCTGCCCAGCCGCCTTTGTCACCCCAGTGATGATGTTTAACACCCTGTGCCAGGGACCCATTTAAGAGCGAGTCAACAACCCATGGAAGGACCGGCTCACATGTCACTGGCCGCTGATGTAAGCCGTGGCCAGGAATCCAACTCGGGTCATTGCAAAGAGAAAGATGCCCTGTATAGCCTTAACGGACTTTTGAAGCAAGTGCACTGAGCGAGCATCGAACCCAACCATACGCACACACGCACAGGCGTGCACGACAGACACATACACGGTCGTGCATGACACACACGCACGTGCATAACACACACACACGTGCATGACACACATACACGTGCATGACACACACGTGCATGACACACACGTGCATGACACACACACGTGCATGACACACACACGTGCATGACACACATACACGTGCATGACACACACACGTGCATGACACACACACACGTGCATGACACACACACGTGCATAACACACACACGTGCATGACACACACACGTACATGACACATACACGGTCGTGCATGACACACACACGGGCGTGCATGACACATACACGGGCGTACTTGAAACACGCACACGGTCGTGCATGACACAAATATACGTGCATGACACACACGCGCATGACACACACACACACACGTGCATGACACACACACACGTGTATGACACACACACACGTACATGACACACACACGTGCACATGACACACACACGTGCATGACACACACACGTACAATAATGGGACGCTTGCTCGCCTCTCAGCAGCCGCTCGTGCTCCCCCAGTCACCCGCTGGGCCCCATCCAATGTGGCCCACCGTTGTCACACATCTCCTCCACATGCGTTACAATGACACATTCCCCTGGCTGGCGTTACTCACATTAGCGCAAGCCGCGATTTCACTCTGCGGGTGGTTGAGAGCGGCCCCGCTGCCTCCCTCAGCACGGAGCCAGGAACGCAGCCTCGCACCGAGGGGGAGTCGAACCCAGGCCCCCTCGTGGTGCCTTGCACGACCGCTTCCTCCTCCTCCTATTCTTCCGAATGGCTAGCAGCTTGCCTACTTGCTACACGTGGTTTCGCAGTGCCGGATGAACCTAGTGCGGGGCCTGTTACATATGTTGCTATAAAGGGGCCCTAACATTTTTAAAACGTAAATATTAAAACACTATTTTTTTACTTGCATAGTAGCGTAATTGTATTTTTCATTTGCTATGAAGCCAGATAATACGACAAATCACTAACCTTAAACACCCGGTCGTTCATACAAGTTGAAGGCGGTATAGTACTATAGTAATAGAGCAAGTGCAGAATCACTGAACCGGAATTGATAGCTTGAAAGTGCGGGGCCCCGTAGCTACTACACGTGCAGCCACTTTTGCTACTAGGAGAATCCGGCACTGTTGGTCCGCCCGACACTGCTGACCCCCTTCTCATCATCATCATCATCCTCCTCATCCACAAGTGGAGGTTAACCTCTTTGCTCCTCTCTTCCCGCCTTCGACTGAATGCATCTCCTATCGAGGCTAGAAGATGCCATCACGGCCAAAGGCGGCGATGCCAACGCTTTGTTGGCATGAAGCACGCCCCGCCCTTACCACGACCAACCCCTTCCGCCAGAGACTTGCGGAAGGGGTGAGGCGTTACTAATGATCAGTCTGAATGTGTTTTGATGTTGCCTGGAAAGCCTCGCCGAGTCTTAAAATTCTCTTTCGAGAGAGTCCTGTGCCGGGATTTCACAGGTTTGCTGCTACTGTGTGTGTGTTCCCAATTGAGTAATGTGCAGGTCACGTTTCAGCAATTGGGACGTTGGGCAACACCAGTTACGTTGTGAGATTTAAAAACAAAATTGGCTACGGAGAAGAAAAAACCCAGTGAGTGAAGCCGGTGGTGAACCCATTCAGTAAAGGGGAAGGAACCCATACAAACTCCACGCAGAAAGGCGCCCCTAGTCGGGAATCGAACCCAGGACTTCTTGCTACGCAGGGATAAATGGAACGATTTGTTTAGGGCCCAGATGCAAAAGAGATGAAGTCATTGGTAAAAAAAACAAACTAATTACTAAAGGCTCTTATTCACTGTATCCTTTGAGACGATCGATTCTACGAATCAAATAAACACATCATTTATTAAGCTCTGCATATTTTTAAAGCCCTTTTATGCACGCACAAACACATCATTTGCATTCGTCTGCCTTGGGACATAATTTTAAAAGCATTCATTTGCGAACACAATTCTTTGAAGCGTCCAAATTACTAAGCTCTACACCTCGGGCTAAATTAAGCAACGTTAAAAAAAGTGGGGCAAAATAAATAATAACGAGGCTAATACACTCACACAGTGATAATACACTCACAACAATAACAATACTCACAATAATAATACTCACACAATGATAATACGCTCACAACAATAATAATACTCACACAATGATAATACACTCACAACAATAACAATACTCACACAATGACAATACACTCACAACAATAACAATACTCACACAATGGTAATACACTCACACAATGACAATACTCACACAATGACAATACACTCACAACAATAACAATACTCACACAATGGTTATACACCCACACAGTGATAATACACTCACAACAATGACAATACACTCACACAATGACAATATTCTCACAACAATGATAATAATACACTCACACAATGATAAAACACACAATGATAATAATACACTCACAACAACAATAATACACTCACAACAACAATAATACACTCACCAGTAATAAGATTCCGATGGGCCGCAGAGGACGGAGACGTCCACTCACGGTGGCCACGCGCGGAGGGACCACGCCGTGGCGCACGCGCGTGGCAAGTGCCGGCGTCAATCACGGGCCGCGCCACGCCAGCCCACAAAAGACCGCGACGATCGCTCAACGTAACGGCCATAATAAAAAAAAACACCATGGTAAGGAGGGCGCTCTATTTTTACGTTTTCGCCAATAAAGCTTGGCGCGTTTATGTCCCGCCCGCGTGTTTGCTGCTGCTGCTGTTGTTGTTGTTTGTTCCAACATCGGCGAGCACAGGTGCAACCCCCAGCGAGATGGTTTAGACTTTAGACGGCGCGCGTGGGCTCACCGGCAAACACGCCCGCGCGCGCTCATTACGCGGCGTGCTTTTCCGCTGTCTGCCAGCGCCGCTTTCTTGATGCCAGCAGCAGATGGAACGTGCGGAGGAGTGGCAGCGCTCCCATCGCGAGAGACCGCCAGCGAACAAGCGAGCACGTCCGTCCAGTCACGGGCGCCGACGGCCGCTGGCAAACCGCGCAGTCGCCACGCAAGCAATCATCATCTATGAGCCCACTCAATGTCGTCATCATCATTGTCACATACAGCATTGTCATGATAATCATGACATTGTTATCGTCGTCATCATCACTGTCATCTTTCGCCACCCCAGGAGCGCTCGTCTTTGCTGTCTGATGAGAATGGTCATAGAGGTCCCAACG